GCTACTGTTACTTTGTTTAAATGCTTTTCCATCGAGCTACTACCACAGTAAAATGGAATCTATTAATCACCAAATGGATATATGTTGGATTGAGGAATGAATAAAATAAGTGTCCCCTGAAAGACCTTCAGTTCTTCCACATTCAGACTCTAATTCTCTTTCCTTATCTCTCTTTAGTTTTTACTATCAATATGAAATACTCATTTGTCCTGTGACTTAGATGTGCCTTGCCAGACACCATGGTAGCTATTGGTATTCAAGGCTGATAAAAGAGCTCATGGCTTCTTTGAAAGGGCTGTCCACTAAAGTCACAATGATTTTGTTCTAGTTTCATACTTTCCCACTGCCAAGGCTTTGATAGTGTTCTTCCTCCAGACTCAAAATTTGTCTCAAAGGGCGTGATCCTTTATCTTCAAATCATTACAGCATCATAATTCATCATGACCTCAAAAAACTTACACTAATTTTTTATAAGTTAGAAAGTAAGTTTGTACCTTATTTTCTAATTTATAAGAAAATATCTTTAGTTTCACATTTTTGAAGCCTTTAGGATTCAGCTCAAATTATATTTTGTGTTTTGTAAAACAAGTAAGCAATTACCTAACCACTCTTGTGTAACATGGTCTCTCTCCCAAACCAGCCTTTGGCATGCTGAGGAAATTCTTTTAAATTATGTTATACTTTCCTTGGACTAGAAATTATGATTATAATGTATATTAAAAGTGTTTTTCTATAATAATCTTAAACTATGATATATGTAGACACATCATGTGTATGTGAAACATCACACTATGTCTTTATTGCAATGTAAAAGTCCTGAATAATTTGTGTTTCACATTATATTTTTGTTTAAATACTTTGACTAAGGTACACTTTGTTGTCCCCTAGTCAGTATTTGCTAACATTAATTAACGGATTGATAGCTTACTGGAAATTTCCTCTATTTTTCAGATAAGTATGAGCAATTCATAATAAACTACTGGTTCTATAAATATCGGCAAGTTGACCCATAATGATCATTACTATGGAAAGGATAATAAATGTCCCGCCAGTGACAAAGAGATGTTTCTGAGCATTCACAAAGGGAGAGAATTCAAGAAATTTATATCTTTTGGTGAAAGAGGTAAATACTTCTGTAAATGTTCCTTATCTTAATGTAATTCCCAGTCCTTGTCTCTCTTCTTATTTCTGGTTTATTGTTCAGAGTACATCTGCAGTCTCAGAGTCCTTTAAAGTCCATGAATGGAAACTTATGCACAAAGAAAATTAAGCATTTCTTTAATAAACACAAAACAGAAGTTTAAGTTTAAACCAGAGCTTAGTTTTAAAACCATACCACCCTGAATGAGTCCAGTCTCTCCTGATGCTGGAATAAGCCAGAATTTATCTATCTGCAAAGTTGCTGTTTTTCCAACTATATCATGGATTGGGTGATTTCTCACACAGGCAGAAAATTCCCCAGGCTAGGAAAAGGGTGTAGTCTGGTTTTTGGGCTGGAGTGCCCAAGGATAGAATTGTAACTCACCCACCACACAAGATGCAGCAAAGGGTCCCCAGACGCTTAAATATTGCTTGAATTGTGCCCGCATAGTTATAAATGCTTTATGCATTTTTTTAAGTTTTATTTATTTATGCATACAGAACTGGGGTACAGGCTAGAGGTGCAGGGGTGGTAAAAGGATTCACTAGAGACAGAGTGGGGGGCAGGACAGGCAGGTGGACGAAGTACACTGCTGAGGGGAGCAGCAGGCGGATCAGGAGAGGTCTGCTGCACCATGTGAATCTCCTCCGGGGCAGGTGGGGATTGAACTCATGCTGTAGTGGCCTTAACTTCTTATTGCTGTGCTTTAACCTGCTGCACCACCAGGGAGGGCCCATGCATTGCTTTTTAAAGCCACTTGCAGACTAGATTAAGAAATTAGTTTATTTGGATCAGACACAAGGCTAATGCAGTAGTGATGAGTCAACAGAGTAAAGAAAGGAAAGAGGGTGGCCAAGGTAATAGTTTTCACTACCACATCTTGATTCGAGTTACCCAAATTCACAGTCCTCTACATCTACTCAGTGGTCTTTCTTGGTCAAGGAAGAAAGTCTGTCTAGGGAGGCAAAATAAAGATCCAGACAACCTCTCCAGGCTCTGACCTAACTTTTAAGAATTAGTCTAAGAATAAACCATCCACATCAGGTTGTGATGGTAGTCACTTGCTTCCACAACTTAGAAATAAAAAGGGTATCAGTAGCAAATTGTTTGATTTCTGTATTCTTCATGCCCTTAATATACAGGTGTCATTAAAATTGTATTTGCTATTGGCGAGAAAGACTGACTAGCCTTGGAATGATCTCTGACAACTTGCAGAATATAATTGCCCAGTTAGTTCATGGGTTGTCGGTAGAAATCACAGGTTAAGTGGTTTTACTAGCCAATGTGGTATATACTTGGAATTTGAGTATTATAAAGCAGCCAAAGTTTTAGGGAATCTATCCTCCAAACATCCAAGCCAGGAGGGTTTAAGCTGACTCTGTACAAGTTCTGCTTCCAATCTCAAAATTGTTCCATTTCCCATTATGTTGCAAGAGAACTGGATTCTCAGTCCTGTCAGTGACTTGTCACTTAACTGCATATGACTTGTTGTGACTTAGTTTCTTCTGACTTCAACTGGATTAATGATACTTGTTGTTCAATTTCTTATTAAAATACAGGCCTTAAGAAAGATGTTATTTGGTAAAAACCTTGGGATTTCGAAGGTAATGTTGATCCTAAAATTAAAAAAAAAAATAGTATTTGTTCCTCCACAAATATAACATTCAAAAAGAATTGCAACTTGGTCACAAGTTTTTAGTCTCTAGATATATAATACCCAAGAATTCAGATAATTTATAATTAATTATATTTTAAGAATGAGCTTTTTCAGGCACACAAGGACCTAGGGATCACTCTCTGTTGTGTTTCTTTCCGGCTCTGAATTCGGAAACAAATAAAAGTACTTTAATTTTCTCATGTGTAAATAGAGATAGTAAATAAGATTTCTTTGTTCAACTCAACAATTATGGCATAAGTTAAAAAAAAAAAACAAAACAAAAAACTAGCATTTATGAAGAACTCAATGTATTGGACTCCTACTCTTAGTTTCATCTTTATTCCTACAGTATGCACGAGATAATACTTTTTACCTATTTTACAATTACAAAAATTGAGACTTAGGTTAAATAAGTTGTCTGAGCTCATGAGAAGGAAGACTTAGGATGTGAACCTTAACCATAATAAGTTCACTATATAAAAGTAAGCTTTGTATTTTCTTCCTCTTCTACTCTACTCTACTTCTTCCATCTTTTGTTTAATATTCTTATTCACCTTTCTCAGTCTCTCTCTAGAAAAGTTATTGATCGTCACATACACTTCCTCTTTTCTGTAGGAATGTATTTTGACAAAGCAAACCAGGGCAAGAACAAACGATAACTGTGATGTGGTCTGTGATCAGTGATTTGAACTGTCTAGTCATTTACCAAGTGTATTTTTTTTTTTTGAGTTTATATAAACCATAAGTGTGCTGGTTCAGGGGCGCTACTCATGTGAACATGATATGCTTCCTCCTTAGAGGTAAGACACACACATAAACAAACATGAAGAAGAGGTTGCTTGTCATAAGAAGAGGTAAATGCCAAACAAGAGGATGTCAGAGGAAGAAATGACCAATTCCAGGTAAGAAGCTCTTGGACTTTGTCCTGATGTCCAGGGAAAATAAAACTTCCTTTTTCTAAACCATCAGAGTAATTGGATATATGATCATTAAGAAAAATTATCAGTAGAGGAGTGTGGTAAGATCTCTAAATGATTGGGGCTTGGTTAATAAAATAACACATCATGATAACACCCTTGCTGCTCCAGATACCGACTCAAGTATTCAATTCCTTCACATTTCATCAAGGCAAAGGTTATTTACTCTAGGACTATAGACACAGATGCTGGAAAAGGGAAGGAGGGGAGGGGAGGGGGAAGAAGGGGAGGGTGGCAGAGAGGTGTGCTCATGTTTCACAGATGTTAATTTTAAGTTTCCACCTGGTAACAGCCTCGGGGCCACTGCATAAAGATACAAGTCAAAACATAGAAAGAACTAGCAGTATCCAGCAAGGGAATTAGAAAAAAACAAAAAAACTTTCCAGTGGCTAAATAAATCTCTTTCGTTTGCACTTTCTTACTTTCTATTTACTGAAAATCGGAAAGCGTCATAAACTCGATTGCTTTTTCAAAGTACTGGATTATGTAAAAGTGTTGTTTATGAAATTCAACTTGATCACACAGAGGCTAATTGAAATTGTGATCCACTTTAACATCTATGTTTTTTACTTAAAGAACGCAAAAATAATTGATGGACAAGAAAGATTTTAAATTATGAATAGTAAGAGTAATAAATAACATACTTTTCATGTAAAATCATGGCTTTTTTTCCAGGACATTTTAGTAATACATTCAAAGTATATAGAAACCCTCACAGCATAGTACTTGAACTTGCACAAACAGCCCAAGGCAAGCAAGCATTCGAATGAGTATTTTCACATAAGCCTACTTGCTTATTTTCACAGACCACATTTAAAATAACTACAAGATTAATTTCATTCCATTTGCTGGACTCATACATCCTTGAAAGCAAGAAAAACTGTCAATTCAGAATTATAATAAACATTAGTTATAAACAAGACTAGAAGGGGTGGATGGTGGTGGGAGTGGGGGGTGGGGAGACAAACCCCTTAGTTACAATATTTTAGGGAATTGAATCAACACAATTAAGACAAATTTCAATTCAAGTGCTTCACGCCACTACATAAGCAGTTTAGAATTTTAAGCAGATGCAAAAGGAATAAAGCAAACAGGCAGAAAAAAAGGCCGATAAAGTTTCTGGCTACAATACAAGAGACATATCATTACCATATGATCTAATGTGGGTGTCAGCTGGATTGTGTTCATTGAGGGAAACCTTATTTTTTAACTGTGCTATGGAGTAGAAGCAGGAGATTTTCAACCTAGTGACAGTCACAGAGCAGCACCTACCCCTCCTCCTTTCCACACCTGCAAACTCTTTTGCTTGGGCTGAATTTAGTGTAATTACATCTCAGCTTTGAGGGCTCCTGTGGCAAATCCCCGGATTAAAAGGTATGGTTTTCAATAATTGTCCTGAACTCTGCTGCAGACTAATAAAACTTCATTCAAGTTGAGAGCAAAGGGAATTGTTTGATGAGAAAAAGACTAGAAAAACAACGATCATGCTTTAGTAATCTTTATGGAACATTTTAAACAAGTACTGCTGGAAAGCAGACGTTAAATATTTGGTAAAGTGGGTGAATGAATTGTTTTAGCTTTTTCTGTTCTTGCAAAGATGTTTTTCTAAAAAGAGAACTATAATTTAGCACTGTGATTATCTATAGTGATATATTTTGTATTTGTAATTATAAAATGTTTAGCGCTTTTGCAAGTGTTTATGGAAAAGTATTTTAAATGAGCATACTGTTCCTAGTAAAATGATATATTTAAAAATGTGTTTCCCTCCTGAATTCTTGTATATTTTAAGAACTTTTAAAACCTTAGCGAAGTGAATTCTGATAATTAGTTAAAGAGGTATAGTGTTTATTTCTACAACCTAGAAAATACTAAAAATTATACCCAGAGAAGTTTTCAGCATTGAGATATTCATGCTGATGATCAAAGACCTAACTAATTAAGATAACCTCACAGTGAATTCTATAACTTCTTAAATGTAGAGACTCTGTCAGAATTTGCACTGCAAATGAACTTTTTAACTAGCAGTTATATTCACTGTAAAATAGGACTTAGGTTATTTTTTCCTTCTGATTTCAAGACTGGGTAACATGACCATTAGTTAAGTGGGTTCAAAGTGATGTAAATACCTGTGGCTTTTTCTTCCTATTCCTTTTGACCAGAGAAAGAATGAAATGAACCTTGAGCAGCCCTTACTTATGATTAGATGCTACTGTCACTTATTATTAAATTAGTTCCATTATTTGGAAGTTTTGTTATTCACTTAGTGCTGGAGGAATTTTAATTTTGCTCTGTAATCGCATTTTCACTTATCTCCTGAAGGATAAAAGTCATAGAAGGGCATAAATGTTGTGCAGATGTTATGTTGATCTGAATGGTATAGTTAATTTAGTGGACTGAATTGCTAATTATTCTTAGCAATTAACATTTAGGAAAGAGTCATATTTTAAGAATAGTTGTAATGGAATTTAGAAAGCATATGATTTTAATGATAGTTTCCGTGGTTACTACATGGGCAACAGCTGTTTTTTGTTTGTTTTTCTGATTTATTTAGGAAGGAAGGAAATTTTAAAATAAATCATGAGTATCAACTTCTGCACTAATTATTATAAGATACTGGGGCTTAAAATATCATGGCACAAATTAAAAGGATCTATTTCATGGAGGAATTTGTATAAAGGTCCTAGACATGTTTTTATCCCCCCTCCCACCCTCAGAGCATCAAGGATTAAAATGCACACACACACACACCCCTGCCCCCCCCCAAGAAAGTGATGTAAATCAAGTAGTGGAAACTATATATGTCTGTTTGCTTTAAGTTTTAAAGTTTTAACCAAAACCCAATATTATATAGAGAATCTGTATCATTTTAACTAGAGTAAACAAATATAAATGACAAATGATAATGTTCCTCTGAGTTTATGCTCAACATTTCCTTTTTTGGATTAGGGAAGCAACCAGACATTTTCTACTTTGGAGAAAAGATCAAAAAGCAACATCTGCATTAGTTCTTGTTGCTATTTATTAAATCTGCAATTACTTTGCTTCATTTTTTTCCCTAAAATTGTAGGACATTAAATATGCAAGGCTAGCAAACTGTGGTAAACCATAAACATTGCATTTTAATGTGAAACAGACAAAAAACCACTCCCATAGATCCAATCCAAGGAATCACTGCCAGAACAATAGGTGTCCTTTAAAGGGCAAAGTAGTAGCTGAGTGGGAATGGGCTTCTAAGGAAAACTCAACATTGCATTTAAAGGGGAAGTGTGAATAATCTCTTCCATGGTATCTTTTAAAGTAGAAAGCCATGAGATTGTATTGTATGTGTACTGCCTTAGATATACTTCAGAAATAAATATAAACTAAGAAGTGTAAGGAAAAACATGGAAAACATGTATTTCCTCGCAAATGAACCTCGGCAAAATTTCCCCAAAGGTGCACTATGGGGAGAGCATACATGATATTTTCTTTTTAGTGTTCTAATGGGTACTTTATTTTTAAAATATTCTACCGCTCCATATGACTCCAAACAACTCTTTGATTCTAGTTATGACTGTACTGCTTCAATAATTGTTCTTTCGAGAAAACAATTCAAAGTAAAAATGATGAAACTAAAAGAGTCTATATATGTGTTGGTTTATACTTAGAACACTCTCAATGGGATTTCAAAAATAGATTGGTTGTTCTCTATATGATTAACTACTTACCAGATTTTCTTAGTTCAGTCACCTAAACTACTAAGTCAACAACAGAAATGTATATAAGTGCATATCGAATTAAGGGACACTTAGTGGAGGGATTTATCAAAACTATTTTGTTTGTTTGTTTACAAATGAGACCTCCTAAAACCAAATAACACATGTCATATAAAAGTTTTAGCATTTTCTGTACTTGCTTATGGTTTATTAACCATGATTAGTTTGAGAAACTCACTAAAATTTATTTCTAAAATTGAATTATGCTTATACCATGTTGAGATTTTTCAATTTGATAGCTGATGCTAAAAATTTAACATTGAAAAAAGATAATTTTGTGTTTAAAAAAACAGACTGGTTATTTGGAACAAATTGGATAACTTGTATTATTAACCGATTTATGGTCAATTGAGTCATTTTGTGCATAATGTTGTGTAAGGCTGAAGTGCAGAACAAAGAATAATAGGACACACCCTGAAAGAACACATCTTCTGGGAAAGGGGGGGGGGCGAGCCAGCATGCAAAACAAGTCATAATATTATGTGATAAGTTCTTTAAAAGAGGTAAGCGCAATGTGCCTTGGGATCACAGACAGGGAGAAGGCAGCATTCTGCCTGGATGAGCCAAGGAATAGACAAGGGAAGCCAAGTATCTCATTTGAGCCTTACAACACTCTTACAAGGTACGTGTTTTAATGGCTGTGGATCTGAGTGTCCAGGTTGAGGGTAGTGACTGGAAATGGCATGTAAAGGAGATAAGTCTATCTAGAAAAATGTGTCTAGAATATCATTTGGCACCACATTGTGAATGATCTTACTTGCAGTATGGGGGGGTTAGGAGACACCTTGTTGGCAAACCATGGGGAGTCAACAAAGACCAGTAGAAGATGAATACAGTAAAATTTAATGTTTAGAGGATGTCTTGGGCAGTAGAGTGGGAGATAGGCTGACTTAGACAAAGTATTCAAGGCAAATGCCATTTGGAACCTCTTGCCAAGAAGGGCCTGCACCAAGATAAATACATAAGATGGAAACATGAGACTGGCTTTTAGAGATATTTCTGAAGCAGGAATTGGAGCTGTGTCATGTGTCTAGAAATGCATTGGCTTGGCATGCTTTGTGTGCTTTGAGAATTGAAAAATTCTAACATGATTTAACATAATTTTTATATTACATACATATAAATAGATATTTGTTATATATTTACATATGATCTATTTAAATATATATAACATTAAGCATCTCTCTATATATATTAGACTATATTGATCTATTTAAATATATATTATATAACATTAGGCATCTCTCTCTCTATATATATATATATATTAGACTATATTTGCTTAATTCAAACCCAAAATTCAAACAAGCAGCTTGAAATATTAACATAGTAAGTGTTCACAAGTATGCAGCTTAGTCTATCTGTGCCTTATCCCCTTTCAAACACATTTCCGATGCTCTGTTTCCAAACAAGAGATAAATTATGTAGATTTTTCTTTTTTCCTCTATGCTAGTTCCATATTGTTAAATAAGAAACAGAAACAAACGCGATTTTTGTTTTTTTCCCAGGTCCCCTGGCTGTAAAGCTACATGAGATAAAACATGAAGACAGCCATCATCTTCCTCCTGCTTGCACAAGTTTGCTGGGCTGGGCCTTTCCAACAGAGAGGCTTATTTGACTTTATGCTGGAAGATGAGGCTTCTGGCATAGGTCCCGACGACCGCAGTCACCTCCCTCCCATGACTGATATAGAGCCTCTGGGACCCATGTGCCCCTTCCGCTGCCAGTGCCACCTCCGAGTGGTCCAGTGTTCTGATTTGGGTGAGTGGGTGCAGGCTCTCTTTACCTGCTTTTTTTGTTTTGTTTTTTAACACAGGAATGTCATCCTGAAAGTTTAGTATTTTCAGTTTTAATCTCCGCATTTCCAAATGTGAGAGACAGTGCCACCTAATGAGGAGGAAAGGAACACAGTTGGCTAGGGAGAAAAATACCTTAAGGTGTGGAAGTCTTTCTGTCTTAAAAAGAATCCATCACTTCACCGTCCTAGACAAACCACTTAAAAAAAATTCTTTCTGTGCTACATGGAACTCATTCTGTTAAGTGAAAGTTTGAACAGAACTATGGCTTTTGCTCTGTGATTCCAGATCTCATTAGATGATTTGCTTTCATGAATTTTAGGTACTAAGAAAACCGCGCAATCTCGCATCTCTTGATTTAGTACAGATCACACAGAGTTTAAATATTACGAAATGTAAAGTATGGCAAGTTAGCAGAAGTTAAACAAGTAAGCTTTGAAAACAAGAAAAGTATCTCTGAAGTACCAGAATTCTTCCTTAATCTCCAGGCCCTCACCTTTGGCACTTTGTAAAGTTTATAGCTAGTTTTAGAGGAAATTTTATAAGGAAGCTATGACTATTCAGTATAACCACATAGCATGTATCTTTAGCTTAACATTGTAAATGCAGTTTGATTTATCACCTTTCAAGCAAAATTTGTCCTGGGAATTCTAAGCGCAATACATTCAGGAGATAAATTCAACAGATGGGCCAGAGGGGAATGAATTCAGTTTACCTGGCAGCTGATTCACATTCCTCCTTTCATTACATTTTCTCTTTGGGGAAAAAAAAAAAAAAACAGGAAAAAGTTCTCATAGGATGATTTTCTCCTGGTACATTTCTTTATGGAAGAAACCCCTCAGTATTTCTGAAGTTTTATATTCATTCAGGATGTCTTTCTAGTGTTAATTTACAGGAAAAGATGCCACTAATACTTACAGTTGGAGTAAGCTACATATAGTGCCCACCAAACAAAAACCTTTTAAATAATAACAACAAATGAAAAACTAAATTATTATAGGTTTTTTTCAAGGCTGATACTTAAAACTGAAAAAGAAAAGTGTATAGACTTGCTTTAAAGAGGCCCCTGGATAATTCCCCATTCGTTCGCTCGTTCGTTCGTTCGTTCATTCCTTCGTTCCTTCATTCCTTCGTTCCCTTGTTCCTTCGTTCATTCATTCATTCGGTATTTCAGCCAGTATGCGAAGTATCCACAACAGGTCAGGTCAGTTATTGAGCCCCAAGGAGAAAAGAAGTACAAATATGGGGAGTACAAATAAGGTTTCTGTTCTTATGGATCTTATACTCTACTGATAAGAATTGTTTTTAAGTGTATGTTTACTACAGGTAAACATAAATTATAATAAATTATACTATATAGTAAATTATACCATATACTATATAAAGATAAATTATAACAAATTATAAGCATCTAAAGATCACTATATTATTTCTTTAGGAAGGAAATTAATAGTGTTGAAAATCTGAACAGAGGAATCATCATTTATAGCTATCATAGTGCTAAACTGTTCTAGAATTACAAAAATAATTCCTAAAAGTTATGATACAAGTTAAACTTTACTTTGCCTCTGAGCACAAAGTTAAACGGATTCACAATTACTCTCACCACAGATATTATTGACAATGAGGAACTGATTTTTTTAAATAAGATGATGCTCATATATTTTTAATTTTTTAAAAGATTTATTCATACAGAACTGGGGTACAAAACAGAGTTGCAGGGGGTGGTGAGAGGATTCGCCAGAGATGGAGTGGGGAGCAGGACAGACAGGTGGACAAAGTACACTGCTAAGGGGAGCAGCAGGCAGGTCAGGGGAGGTCTGCTGTGCCATGTGGATCACCTGCAGGCGAGGATCAAACTCGTTCTGAAGCAGCTGCGGCTTGCTTGCAGTGCTGTGTCCTAACCCATTGCACCACCAGGATGGGCCCAATGTTTTTTTAAGGAAAGGAAATTTGTCCAGCTAGTTTATTGAAATTTGATTTTCAATAAATATCAATAAATGTGGCTTCACTTTTTTTGCATGATAAGTAATCCCTAATACTTGACAGATGGAAATATGGGTGTGGGCAGTTTTCCGATTGTCTTTCACAAGAAAAGCCCAGATCTATTACTCAAACTAAACAGACAATTCAGTTCTCAGGAAATATCGGGTATATTTACTTGGCCATCTCACGATATAATTTTGTATTTATGGTTGGTTGTGTTGTTTTGATGAGTACATTTTCGATAGGCTGTCTTATTTCTAAAAGTTCAGATTATGCAATCTTCCGTTATTACACACATGTTTACTGACTCATGTATGAGACAAGTAGCTAAGCCAAAAGTAATGGTTTAACTGGGGGAACCACAATTAACTAAGAATAGCATTCCAATGAACTGCGGGCTCATCAAAGTTACTTCTGGTTTTTTTATTAAGTCACAGATAATATTTAAATCTATGATCAAGTTTTTGAACAGATAATTTTCAAGCATAAAATACCTTTCTTGAAAGGAAGGCCAATCCACTTGCCTGCAGATTGAACCCTTGTTCACATTTACAGTCATTATCTTACTTCTGGCCCCTTCATGGCCTTGGGAAACTGTCAGTCTTAACATTTTCATCTTCAGGAAAATGAGTATCTTACTGATCAGGTTATACGTGTGAGGTCTCAGATATGGCAGATGTTCAATAATACTCTCTAATGATGAGTATTCCAAGTATAAGGTGGAAGATGGAAGACGAGGAAAAACAGATAAGAAGAAATGAGCAAACATATTCAGAGGAAAGGCCATGCATTTTATTTTCTTGTTTTAAGTTCTTTAGTGATCTGAATTTAACATGAAACTTGAATTACTATAATTTTTAAAAAAAATGTACGTTTAGCTGAAAAATGCAAATGCTTTTATCACAGGCAAATGTCCTCTTCAGGGTGATGTTTGCAAGGACTTGTAATGGGCACAGAGAGCTAGTGTTGAAAGGCATTATTAATCCTCTGCCATCTCATTGTGTAGATGATGGTTTTTACATGAACATGCCTCTTAAAAAGTTTACCCATTTTTTATTCAGATATAATTGATGTAGATCGTGATGTCAATTTCAGTTATACAACATAATACTTCAATATTAGTGTGCATTGCAAAATGATACAAGTATTTAACTTCTTTCATCTTCCATAGTTATAAACATTTTTTTCTTATAATGAAAACTTTTAAGATTTACTCTAACAGCAAATTACAATTTCTTATTAAAATTTATGCCAAATTTTGCCACTAAGAACTATTTTTGACAATGTCAAACAACATCAAATTTTCACACTGTTCTTTCAAAACTAAGAAGTAAAAACTGATATTAAAATGTGATTTCCCCATAGGAAAACCACTGAGGCCTTTTGGAAGGTAATTGAAAGTGTTAGTCCCTCCTCCTAAACTATCAGATACTATTTAATGTTTTCCTAGAACATAGGAGAGTGAGGAAGTAAACATATATTTTAGTGTTGAAGGATGTAATTAATTTTTCACAGATAAAGGCCATATTGTTTGGCTGAAATTATAATTTAACTTGTAATTTGAACCAAAATTTTATGAGAATTTCATGTTGTCTCTTCTTTCTATCTCCTCTTAAGCCATAAAACAATTCACTCTTAATTATAGCAGTTATTTTTAAAATGGCAGTATAAAAATAAAGGCAGGATGAAAAAAATTTAAAACCAGAATTACTTTAACAAGCCCGCAATATAATTCATTCTTGTCAGATCTTTTCAAAATATCCTTATCTTGATTTGATACTTTGTTTTATGTGCTTTTGTCTGGAAGGAAGATCATTCCCATTACTTGTTTTGGCTTTTGTTTATCCATCTTTATATACAGTATCATAAAATAACATCATTTCTTATTGACTTCTATCTCATGTGTAGGCCAGTCAGCCCTGACAGATGATATAAGTATAAACATTGCTTTTTGACTATTATTCCAAATGGAAGTAATAGTTATTGACGTATTTCATAAAATTATTTTCAAAATAATTGGTGTCTTTTAAAATTGTTTACTACTGTAAAACTTGGATTTTGCTGCTTAAAACCCCTTGAGTCATGCTTTACCATTTACTACCTCCCCATGTCAAAATCTCATTTCTCATTCAACAAGTAGGAATGTATCTAACTTAATTTTGCAAGAAAAAATAATTGTAAAAATGCAGATCACAGTAGCAGTTATATTTAGCTTACCACTTCAGACCAAGTAGATTAACAGCATGAGCCTATTTCTGATATGTTCTTTCATTTTTCTCTAAAAGTTCAGAATCTCTAGTAAGTTTATGGCCTTATCAAATTGGATAGAAAATGTACCTTCTTTGCCCAAAAGAGGTCCACACACTTTGTACATTATCAAGAATTCAGTGTCCTTCAATCATCCTTCCTTTGAACAAAAATACTGTGGTCAAGTGAAGAAGAGTGAAACATTTGGCCATTTTATGTTCATAAATGATTTATAAATCATATACTTAACCCTCAAGAGAGAGTGCCAGACGATGTAACATTTAATTTTGCCATTTAAAGCATTATAAATAACTTCTAGTTCCTAAAATGTACCTACCTCATAATTAAACAACTAGTTTGAATTTAAAACCCACAAAAAAATTACTTTGATTTTCAGAGTTTTCTTCTTTTTAATTATTTTGCTTCTAGTAAAATTGGTTTAAAAAATGTTAATGGAATATAGCATAGCACAGCTTGTCTTTTGGCTAGGGAAAGCGAGTTTCTAGAAGCAAAGCTTATATACAAGGTAAATGAATATTGATGAATAAACTATTAATAAATGAAATCAAACAAGAATAAATTAGGGCTTTTTTTTTTTTAAGATTTATTTATTTATTCATACAGAACCCGGGTACAGGCCAGAGATACGGAGGATGAGAGGATTCACCAGAGACAGAGTGGGGAGCAGAACAGGCAGATTGTCAAAGTACACTGCTGAGGGGAGCAGCGGGC